TTCAAAAACTAAAAAAAATGGTGGCATGAAATCCAACACTTGGAAAAAGCCAAATTAATCACTCAGTCCTGGGCTCAGCTGAAAGGAGTGAGAGGAGTGTAAAGAAAAGTATGAGGATTTGTATTCAGATAGGTTTAAATCTGTAACATTGTGGACTGGAGAGATGGCTCAGAGGTTAAGAACACTGGTTGTTCTTTCAGAAGGCCCAGGTTTGAATCCCACCACTCACATGGCAGCTAACAACTGTCCATAATAACTCCAGTTCCAGGGGATCCGACAGCCTCTTCTGACCTCCATGGGCATTGCGTGACATGGGTGCACTTACCTACATGCAGGCGATACACGCATACACATAAAAATAACAAAATATTTTTAAAAAATCTGTAACATTGTACAAATTCTTGAATGGACTTCAGATTCCTTATGTGTAAACTGGAATAATGTCTGTCGGTCATTCCTCTTTATCATACCCACCTTCCCATCTAGTTCATGAGAATGAGACCATGAAACCAGAAGGATAAGAATCGATCACAGCAGATAGGATGAGGTTCCTGTCAGCCTCCCTTATCCAGTCTGCGCTGTATGGTAGAAACCTTAATCCAGCGTCTAGGAAACCACTACTTTGTGTCAATATCTCTTCATTTTGTTGTCAGTTTGCTTTAATTTTGTCAAACATTTTAATAAAGCAAACACATTAGTGTGTAATCTTGAAAGCTAGCCTTGTGTTTTATTTTTAAAACTTTTACAAGCCCACCTACTGTTAGGTATACTAGCAAGTTCATACCCCTCCACACACATCATGCCACCTACACCACAGCACACACATATATACACAACACACACATAACACAATACCACACAAACAACACACATACAACACCACACACATAAGACATACACAGTATGCAATATTACAGACTACACACATCACACACTACCACACACAATACAACACACACAACACCATACATACAACACCACTTGCACAACATACATACTTACAACCCACACATACACACACTACACATAAAACACCACACATAATACTACACACAAAATGCACACACAAAAACACCAAACAACAGACATCACATGCAACACCACATACAAATACAACAGACACACCACATACACAATATGTATACAGTACACACAACATACGCAATACTACACACAATACCACACACATGCACATGTACACACACCACACACATCACCACACACACAAGATGCAGCACAGCACACCCCAACACCATACATGTACATTTACAGACACAACACACATGCACACAGAACACGCATACACACTACATGCAGCACATATGCACATCAAACACATAACACCATGCAGATATGTACAAAGACACAACACATAACACCATGCAACACACACATACACACAACTTACACACTCAGAACACTACATACGTGCAATACACACAATGCACACAAATACACAACACACAGCAAGCACCACACACGGTACACTATAGCATACACAATACATACATATATACCACCATACACACACATTACCACCACACACAAACCATACACACGGGCACAGATGCTACACTCATCACACACACATGCACCAGCATCCCCAAATGTGCGCTTGCTCCATGCTCTGTCATGTCTCTGTTCCCACTTGTGTTGGATTGTGTCTCCATCTCCTCCTGGAAGCTTGTAGCACTTCCCATTCATCTAGGATGCTCTCTTCCACTCCTGTCTGCAGGCTGCAGCTGGCATCTTGCTTGAACTTGATGGACACATTCATTAGTTTGGTTTTCTTGTGTCTTTAAGGGGAGTATCACCACTCAAGCTGTATCACTATTGCCTAAAAAGGGTCTGCCACCTAGAGGACCCTGAAGAAAAGGAACAGATGAATCAATGAATGAAATGGGCCTCAGTTCTGTAAAGTCTGGTTGTGTTAGTCTTAACTTTCTGCCATAGCAAATAGCTAATATAATCAACCACTAATGAAAGATTGTAGTTAATGATTAGTTAGCCCTATTGTGTTGGGACTGTGGTGGTATTATTATTATGGTGGTATTATTATTATTGTTATTATTATTATTGTGGAGGTATGTACTGGGGCAGCACCACTTACCTTATGGCTGGGAAGCAAATAGAGGAAGGGAACAGGGTCCCACGATGTCCTTCAAAGGCACATCACCAGTGACCTACAGACCTCCCATTTGGTCCCACCTCCTTAAGACCTAATCGCACCAAGCTGGGGAGCAAGCCTTTACCATGTGGACCTTTTTGTAGACACTTCAGATATAAACTAGAGCACTGGCTGTATATTTCTGGTCTCTCTTAGCAACAGTTCTAGCGTAGTTGAATACACATTCTAATGCCAGATTCCTTGGCTCCATATCCCATCAGTTCCATTTAGTGTGAACTAAAGTAAGTTTATTTAACCTATCTGTCCTCATGCTTGCAAAGCAAGTGCTTTACTGGCTGAGCCACCCCTCAGTCCAGAAATTCTATCTTTTCTCTAATGAACCACCTTGGAACTTTTGTAAAAAAAAAAAATCAATTGAACAAAAGTGTGAGGCTGGGGAGCTGGCTCAGCAATTAAGAGCACTGGCTACTTTTGCAGAGGACTTAGGTTCAGTTCCAGCACCCACATGGCCACTAACAACTCCAGGTTTATGTGATCCAATGCCCTCTTCTGGCCTCCATGGGTGTTGCACAATATGGGTGCACTTACATAGATGCATGAAATAAAAATAATAAATATTTTTTGAAAATTTCACTCTCTCAAAAAAGATATATGAACGGATCTGGAGAGATGGCTCAGGGGTTAAGAGCACTGACTGCTCTTGCAGAGGACCCAGGTTTGGTTTCCAGCACCCACATGGTAGTTAACAATGCTCTATGACTCCAGTTCCATAAGATCCAATGCCATCTTCTGGTCTCCATTGGCACTGCATGACACAGGTACACTTACATATATACAAGCAAAACACTCATACACATAAAATAAAGAAATAAAATAAAAATAGATATGAATGGCTAGTAAGCACATGGAAAGATGACCAGTAGCATTAGTCATCACGGAAGTGCAAATGAAAGCCTCAGTGGGATGCTGTTCTACCCACTAGAATGGCTTCACTGAAAAAAGAGTAAGGATGTGCATAGATTAGAACCATTATCCTCACTGGGGGGTAATGTCAAATAGTGTAGCCATTTTGAAAATAATTTGGTAGTTCCTTAAAAAGTTAAATGTATATTTACATATCATCTAGCAAGTTTAGGTATTTACCTAAGAGAAATAAAAATGGGAAGGTTTGTATACAAATGTTCATATCAGTTTTATTCATAATAACCAAAATAGGAATACACAAGTGTCCATCATCCAATCAGTCATGCAATGAAATATTATTGAGATATGCAGTGTATCCATACAAGGAAATATTATTCACTAGCATAAAGGAGCTGATACATGTGTGACTTAGACAGCGTCTTACTTAGTGAAGGACGCCAGCACTAAGAGACTATATCTCATATAATTCTACTGATAGGAATTGTCCAGGAAAAATAAATCTGTAGAGATGGTAGCCGAGTGGCTTGGAGAACAGGAAGAGGTGGTACATGGGGATGAACAGTGAGGAGGAGGGATCTAATTGAGTAGTGGAGGTATTCTAAAATGGCTTCATGGTGATGATTGTACCACTTGGTGAACTGACAAAGAATCACTGGATTGTCCACTTGTAATGACAGGAGGAAGAGAAGCAAGCCTGCCTGTTCTGAAACCTGACTCTGCTAAATCCTAGGATCCTAAATCCTAGCTAAATCCTAGGAAATTGCGATGATATTTAGAGTGCTTAACACAGCTTGGACTATGGAGAGAGTTCAATTGACAGTGGTATTCAGCCTACTGGTACTAATTTACTTAACTTAGTTCAAATCTGAAGGGTTTGAACTACAGTGGGCAGAGGACAATGACTGAACCTGTGGAAATGGTTTCTGGGAACCTGAGTGCCCACATATGCCTACAGCATATGGTGCCTCACTCACTGCAGCCTTGGGCTTTGAGCATAAGAGCCCCCTAGACTATTTCCTTGTGATTGTATCATAGACGGTGGCATCTTCTTTTTGCTTGTAAATATGGAAACAATTGGCTATTTTCACCCCAGTCCAGTAGGTGTTTAGACCACACCCACTACCATCCAGGTCCTGCTGGGGCAGAGGACAGGCAATTTGATGGTGCAAAGGAGGGCCAGCTCTCCTGGTCTATGAGGCCTCGAAGTGATGTCCTCCTGAGAGGAGTTTCCAGAAGCTCAGTAGATGAAGGAACAACAAGGATTACCTAGGCAAGGGGTATGGCTTGAAGAAAGCCCAGAAGCAACAGGGACCTTTCTGACTTCAGACGTGCTGCTGTAGAGAGCGGAGGAAGAAGAAACAAGGGTTTGGGTC